GCCCCNCCCCCCCNCCCCCCCACCTGCAGGGGCTCCTGGAAGACGAAGGTGCCGAGGCCGCCGATCTTCAGGGTGCCGCCGCCCTCGCCGGGGAACCACAAGATGTGTGCCGGCTAGATGTTGCCGTGCCGGCCCGTCAGCCACTGCGTGACGGAGGCTCCGTCGGCCGAGTTGATGGGGTCTCCAGGGTTCAGGATCATCTACGCGAGCAGCAGCTGCACCCTGGTGTCGGGGGTCACATGATAGTGGTGAAGCCGGTCCAGCGCTTCGAGGAGCCCGAGGCACTGTTGGACGGGCCAAGGTGCGGATTTTGGACCAGGCACCTGGTGTTTCCGGTATCTCAGAAGGTCCATCTCGGCCCATGGAAAGACGAGATAGTGGTCCCTTCCTTTGGTGATGCTGGCCACGGGTATGTTCTGGTGCTTGTGCTTGCGAATGTGACTGAGTAGGAGCCGCTGTCTGTTGAACTCTCCCGGATCGAAGAACTTCTTGAGGGCGAAAAACTCGGGTTTGTCTTTTGTGGCCTGTGGCGGGAGGATTGCCGTGTGTCGCCATAGGTTAGTTATACTTATAGTAGAATCCACAAAGCGGCATCAGCGGCGGGTTCGATAAATACCTTGTTTTCGCCAAAGCCGTAGTAGTCGCCATATATCCTGATTTTGAAAACGGTCGTGTGGTTGACGTATATAGTCTCGCACGTGGTCCACGGCAATGTCACAGATGTGGGAATGTCAAAGCGAGGCATGTGCTCCGCGCTTGGTGCTCTCAGAGTCGCCACGCAGACTATTCGTTGCTGCTCCGTGAACGCATCAACTCCGGCATGTCCCAAGATCCGAACGAACTCGAGCTCGAGCTGTTTGCTTTGTTCCGTTGGCGACGGAAGCGGCCACAGTCTGGACACCCTTTGGTCCATCGGCTGGGGAGGAGGGCCGAGAGGCAGGGCATCATCACAAACCCCAGCCTCGATAAAATAGCGCCGCTTGTTGATTCGGTCTACAAGCAGTAGAATGGCAAAGATTTTGCGATAGCCACTGCAGTTGTGTGGCTGCCGATCGCCCGGTGTTTTGAGTTGGTTATCGTGGGTGGGCCGAGCTATTTTCTTGGATAGCCCTTCAGCCTCGGCTGCTTCAGGTGATGTGCGTTCGGGCTGCTTGAAGGGCAGTCTCTCCAAAAGCTTCCAGCCCAGCCTCCTGCCCAGCTTCCTGCCTAGCCCCTTGCTCTGCACCGGATTGCTGATGCGTTCTGGAGGCTCCGATTCCAGGAGGATGCTGAGCACGTTGGCCGTGCTGATGAGGCCTTCGAGATCGCTCTGTGGCAGGAACTTGCCTGAAGACGATGATCTTTCTATTGCGAGGAGCAGATGTGTCTTCATTTCCAGAAATGATAGACGGGGACCGGGTGTGACTGGACCGCTTTCTGGATGTGGCGAATGTTTCCGTCTCGTTTGTTTCTTGTTTCGGAAGGGATAAGAGAGCAATTGACTCCAGGTACTGTAGAATATGATGTTGGATATTGCTTGAACCTTTTGGCGATGGGGCTGGTGGATGTGAATCGGGTTCTGTACGCCGAGGGTCCTGGAGATCCAAGCAGATAGGGCACTCGTGGAGAGGGTCGCCATCACCACCATCCCCCAAACCTCTCAGGTGATTTGATAGCGCAAGGATGGTAAAGGTATCCTGGGCCGGCAGGCGATTGGGTTGAACTAGATCTGGCAGCTGAGCCTCGGTGAAAGACCCATGGTGTTCGGTCCGAATGTGCTGTTCCATATCCAGGGCGGTGGTATACGAGTGATATTCGTGGCCCTTATTCTGGCATGTTTGGCATGCCCACACCGAAGTGTGTTGCCACTGCATATGAGACAGCCAATCTTTGATGGACGAGAACGAAGTGTGGCCGTCTTGGCAGGATTCAAACAAACAAACGTAGGGATCTATGTCTTTGGGGGCGTGACGCCTGTCATCAAGGGACCATCATATCAGCAGATAATACCACATCCAACGGCGGAGCCCGCACAGGACTCGTGGGATATTGCACATACGTCCATTGAGGCTCGACTTTGATATCCCGACTGACTATCCGAAAGCAGAACGGACATTCTGACCGTTCCTGGTTGCATTGGGGGACTGGGATCTCGAGACTTCGTCGCCGTTCTGCGGCTGTCTCTGTAATACCAGAACGTGCCACAGACTCGGCATATATGGCGAGCCACGGCAATGACGAGGCATCAGTGGCTGATAGGAGCTAACTGGGCGCCACCGAGGGCTGCTGTCTGGCCTGCTGCTGCGTGTGCCGCCGGGTGGTCGGTTGGCTCTGCTCGATGGCCTTGACTGGGACAGCACGAGGCTGGAAGCGGGGGGTTACTATCCAGGCCCCGGCCCCCTGGCGAAGCTTTTGCTGGTGGCGATTACGGTATATAAGCTTTAGTCGGCGGAAGGTAGCCGCAGCGACCAGACGCTCTCTCAAGGCCTCCGAGATTTTGTTTTCGCATCTTTGTATCATGTGGATTGCTTCAAGATGACTACGGACGTAGTCTTCGATATCTTTGAGCTGCGTTTCGACGTCTAGTAGCTCCTCAGAGGTAGGTTTCTGGCGCAGCCTGCCCAGGAATTGGTTGACCCTGACATTCTCGCTCGAGGATGGCGGTTTCCTGATCAATGAAGCCATCCGGTACAGTCGATCCAACGCTTCTTTCACGGAGCTGATGGGCGACTTGTATACTGAATCGCCTGCTGCGCCATCCTCGGCTTCAATCTCCGGATCAGTACTGATGGCTGAGGAAGAGGAGGATGAATGCCCCGATAAAGACACTGCCTTGGATTCCACCAAGTCGCGCCCTCCCTCGATGCCCATGCTCTCTCGGTCCACAGCGACATCTCCAGGGTGGTCCTCTGGATCCTTGAGGAGCGGGGGCTTAATACGAGATGTACGTTGTCTCCCAACTGGTTGAGCGTGGATTCGAGGACTTCGATAGTGTCGGGGTCGTTGCGCAAACGATAGCCCAAGGACGCAGAATCTCGAGCGAAGATTCCGACGTTCCCTGCCTACATCAGAAACTGCACCAGCTCATTTTCGAGCTGGAGGCCGAGTCGGGGATCAGTAGCCCCAAGGCCTAGGTCTTTGGTGGCGTTGAGCAGTAGATCTCTGCATCTTTCCGCGGCGCCGCTCAAGTTCATTTTCGGCGCCCGCCGCACCACCGTTGTCTATGTCGGATACACAGAGCGATCGGTATCGCGAGGTGTGTTTGGCCGCCGATGGCCTACAAAGAGGAGAGGGGTTATCTCTTGGTGGCAGACCGGCAGATCGGGGTGGAGGGGCCTTCGCGTTCGTTAGGTAGTATGTAGCACCTTGCGTCACATCATCAGACAAAGGCAACAATATGATTTATCCTTTCGTTGATTACCCCGCGAATATATGCATGTAAGTCTCGGCTTCAGCCTGACTGAAAGCCCCGCCCCGCCTGGCATCGTTCTCCTATTCAGGCTCAGGCGCACGCTGGCCCACCAGATATTGCTGGCATCTCCCTCTATCCTTCCTTTCGTTTCTCTCCTTGTTTTTCTTCTGCTTTTCTCCGTTTTTCCAACGCCGGCATCACGTCTCCACTCAAGCATCTCAAACATGCCGCTCAGGATATCTGGGTTTGAGGTGGTAGCCATTGTTTTGGCCGTCCTTCCTCTGTTTGTCGATGCTACTAAAGGCTATGGTACAGCAGCTTTAAGCGCAGCCAGATCAGGGAAAAGCGACGAGAAGCTGACAGAATTCTACGGGCTGTCCCACTATGAGGCGTGGTTTCTTCAAGCGCAGTTGGAAAATGTGGTTGACCATCTACCTGGTAGTAAGTACTCCTCAATAGACGGATAAGGCCATGTAGAAGTCGTGAGTAGTCACTAAAACGTAAGCACTCATCCGTAACTACCATTTTAGTCAGCGAAGAAAGGAAGCAGGAAGCGAAGCAAAACAGAGAGCTGGAAAGTACGACAGTCAAGCCGACAAAGACCTTTCGGCGGCGCTTGAGAAGCTATTTTCCTCGCCAGACCACCACGCAACTTTCCAAATCACAATGAGAAAAGTTCTAACGCTTCTTGGGCGCCTAATACTGGAAAAGTCAATGCGCTTGTCGAGGGCTGACCGTGAGGACCAAGGAAAAACGATGGAGAAGATGAAGGAGTTTCGGAAAGGGTTGGATGAAAAAGGCCTGAAAAGCAGCTTATGGGAACGTTTTCGTTTCCACAAAAAGGAAAGGATAGAGAGGCTTGCTTGAACAATCTGAGAGGCTAGAACAAGCGGGCGAGTGCGATTGTTGATACGGTTTGCTCTCGAGCGGACAGGAGACAGGCTCCTGCAGTCAGTTCTGCGACACCGCCGAACCTGCCCCTGATCCGGAATCTCTCCCGCAAAATGTTCAGCGCTATCTGGAGATACTGGGCTTGCCAGTGCCCCACAGCACACGAGGCCCGTTTCTCGCTTGCTGGTTGTGCTATCCGTGGACACATCACCGCTCAAGCAGATCTCGAGCTGTCTTTCGACTGCTTGATGTCCCGTCACTAGCCACAACATCCGCACCCTTCCCCCCTACGGGTCCCTCCTCTCCAAGCTCCCGAGATTCACATTTCGCCACCACCGATTGACGCTGCCCGAATAACAAACACCCCGTCGCAATTCATATGGAACTGGCGAGAAGGGACGGTGGCTATAAAGCCCCCAAGGTAGATGCGTTGGCCGGCCTCTTGATCCGCTCACACAGCCTACTAACTCATGCTTCGGGCCTACTTGTAGCACGAAAACTGACTCTTCTCGATCTCGACTATACAAGATCTGCGACGTTTTGCGAGATGCATATAGCCCCGACCAGCGATTCCAACTCTTGGTCGAGGATCTCGAGCCTGTCCATGACATCTACTGGCAGCTCAGCCGACGGCCCTCGGAAGTCCAATACCTGCGGACGAAATCCGAAGTTTCTCTGGAGATGGTCCTGCAAACCGCCGCGACGCCCTCCACGATAGAACGACGGCGCCTCGCCCTGGTCCTAGCCCAGTCGGTCCTGCAGTTACACGAAAGTCCCTAGGTAAGCGATCAGTGGAGCAAGCAGAGCATCTTCTTCTTTTCCACGAGCGACGGGCTAGATCTCAAGCGGCCATATTTGAGCGCAGCGACCCATGTCGTCCCTTCCGGGGCCGAGCCGCCCTACCGGGATATGCACCACCATGGGAATCCCGGCATCTTGAGATTGGGGATCCTGCTGCTCGAGGTCCACTGCTGGAGGCCGATCGAGAGCTACTACCGCCAAGATGTCGACTCGCTCAATGGCCGCGAAACGCCGCTCACGGAGCTCAGCGTCGCCAGGCGCGTGCTTTCGTCCGAGAGCATGAGCCAGAACTGCCTTCCGACTTATACGAACGCCTTAGACGCATGTCTCCACCCGCCCTGGACGGCGAGCGGCTCGAAAATCAGCCTCAACAACGCCGAAACGCAGAAGGGCATATATGAGGACGTTGTGCTGGCGTTGAAGAGTGAAGTCGATGTGGTGGACGCCTGCCTTGGGAAATGAATGTATATACATTTAAATAGACGCTGGATTCCGGGATCCTGAGATACTGAATGATGTCACATGCCTACCTGCGTGACTCCGTTCGGTCAGCCTTGAAGTGCGGTGGCACGCTTTGAGTACGCCGTGCTGTGCAGCTTCAGCCACCATCCAAGGCCACCCAGAGGCGGGGCCCCTCATCTCGCCAATGGGTGTTGCTGGTGCCTTGGGCGGCAGCGCAAAAAGGCCAAGAAGGCGTCATCTGACAAGTTACCCACAGTGAGATGCTTATCGCCCAGCCGCACGTGGGTGAGATTACCCCTTTCTGGCGGCCGCCGGGGGTGGCGAGCGATCCTTCGCAGCACGCCACGGGCTCAGCCTTGCACGAGAAAATGTTTAATCAAACATGACTGTTATCAGCGGGGGAGGATATGACGTCGGGAGAGGATGCCAGCTGCCTGACCATATATATGAACGGACACCCAAGTGGAATTAGGTGAAGCACCTACTTCATACCGGCCCAAACCGTGAACCAACAACAAAAGAAGAAGCAAAACAAGACAATGGGCCCAGTCAGACGAAGACGCACCCCGGCGCTCAGCATCGAGCTGCTGGACGACCAGACGGCCTTCCTACCGGGCGACATCATCCTCGGGCGCGTCGTGCGGCGGACGGCGACCGACAACCCCAACGCCGACGTGACCGTGACGCTGTGCGGCCGCACCCTCAGCCGCGTCACCGTCACCACCCGGGACTCGGGCGGCGACAGCCACCACACCCACCACTCGGCCTGCTTCCCGCTCGTCGACGACGGCGCGCGCGCCCAGCGCCTCGCCTCGGGCCCGCTGCACATCCCCGACGTCGACGGGGCCGAGGCCGAGTGGCCCTTCAGCATCCAGCTGCCGCTGCGCGTCGACCCGGCCGGGCCCGCGGCGGCGGCGGCCGGCGACCGCACCTTTGTGCCCGCGGCCGAGGTCGCGTCCCACCCCCTGCCGTGCAGCTACGCCAGCTTCGGCTACGACGTCGAGGCGGCCGTCGAGTACTGGATCGCCGCCACCGTGGAGCTCGTGGGCAAGCGGGACAAGCCCGAGCGCGCCGAGGCGGTCCTGCCCATCACGGTCAACACGGTGCGGCCGGGCCCGCGGCTGGCCGACTACGGATTGGCGACGACGTCGCGGCGCGCGCAGGTGGCGACGCACCGGCTGGTGCCGGGCATGGCGGCGGCGGGGTCGCGGTTGTCGCTATCGCAGCGGGCGCAGCGGCTGTTCCGGTCTTCGCGCGTGCCCGTGTTCGCGGGCGCCGTCGAGTTCGGCCTGCCGACAGCCGTGCAGCTCGAGGACCGCAGCCCCGTGCCGGTGCTGGTGCGATTTGCGTCGGACCCGTACCAGGGCAGCGCCGAGGTGGAGGGGAGGCCGCAGAGGGTCAAGCTGGCCAAGCTGATCATGACGCTGCGGGGGAGCACCGTCGTCCGGTCCGGGAGCGCGCAGGCCACGGGGCCCGAGTCCCAGGGCCGCGTGCTGCTGTGGCCACCCGGGGACAAGGAGCCGGCCAAGCCCTTCTACGTGCCGTGCTCGGACGAGTGGCCGGCGGCCGACGTTGGCGAGCACGTGGGGCTGCGGCTCGGGAGGAAGGGCGTCATCGGCATGAGCAACCTATGTCCGACTTTCACCACGTACCTCATCCGGCGGGTGTACGAAATCGAATTCGAGGTCCATCTCGACATCGCTGGCGAGATAACCAAGCACAAGTTCGAGTCGGATCTGGAGATAGCTGCGCCCTTCGACACCCGACCTTATCCACCAACCGATGAATCAATGCCACCTCCTAGCTTCGACGAAGCATTGCGAAGCCCAAACCTAGGAGGCCAGGGCCAGCACTTCGGTAGCATGGCCAGGAGTGGGGCATATACAGGTCTGGATATGGCGTCCGGTATCATAAATGTCATAGCGGAGGGTGCAAGGGACTGATTTGATAAAGCCGACGTATATCAATAGTTAATATAATGAGAATTCACCACACCAGATGGAGTATAGTTATCTCGTGCGACGACTTGATTCCACTGTGTCTGCATGTGGTGGCCTGCGGCTGGAATATGGTGACCAGCGATCCCTGGAGCTTGACCGCGAGCCATGCAGCCTTGCTGCGCCAGGACCAGAGTAGTGGTCGGGGTAGGCGGCAGACCGGCGCTCCTGCTCGTCGTCGTCTCTACTCCTGGTCTCTTCTCCCGTCCTACGCCAGACGGTAGTCGCCGGCGTCGACTTGGTTTCGTCGTACTGCACATGTGCGTCCCAGTTCTCAAGGGTCATGTAAGGGCTACGCAACCAGCTTCTCAGCTCGTGCAAGAAAAGCCTAGTATGCGCCTCACCCAGAAACTCCTGCAGCATCTCCTCGGCCTGGCCGCGGCTGCCGTTGATGTCCACAGTCCTCAGGATGGCGACTATGTACTCAAGCAGGAACTCGGTGTTGTTGCTGAGCGTGCGCACTGAGCGACTACTACCGCCGCCCGCCGGTCTCTCGGCGCTCGGGGCACAGAGAAAGCCAAACACGCGCAGCTCCCGGCGGATCCACATACGCGCGCGCGGGGCCAGCTCGGGGTCCGATTCGAACATGCGCGGGGTCAGGTCTGTGTATCGCGTGATGCGGTTCGTACCCACATGTAGTGAGAAGAGCATGAGACGATAGACGCGGCGGCGCCGTTCCAGCGCCGCGTCCTCTTCCGTCTCTCTAGCTGTAACAGCGAGCGCGCTCGGCGGCACCCGGCGCGGCCGAGTCGAGACCCGTGGCCGTGGCCCAGAGGCCCGGGGCCCATGGTGAGGATACGGGCGAGCAGGTGGGCGCGCTGGCCTGATCGCATCGACCGAGGCGCGGGGGACGGTGTATGTGGTGTACTGAGGTGACGAGGGGTCGCTGCCGACATCCCTGAACTGATAGCGCGCCTCGGCAACTTCGGCTTTGCACAGTGGGCAGGATGGGCGGTGGTTCAGCCAGCTGGCGAGGCAAAGGAAGTCAAAGTTGCGATGGCCACAAGGCCTCGCCTCGCAGGGGTCCGACACGACATCGAGGCAGATGACGCAACAGTCGACGCCGCCGCTCTCGGGGTGGCTCGAAGTTCCCGGTGCGGTCGGTCGAGAGGCGATTTCTGCGAGCGCAGTCCGGAGTACTTGGCCGTGTAGGTTCTCGGTGGCGTCTCCAGGCCCCTCGGGCTCCATCAAGTTGAACCTGGATTTAACTACGTGGTTTGCTCGTCAAGTCAAGGAAGCGTTGGCTAAGTGGACTTTGATGGGAACACCTTGATAGCGAGAGTTCATTAGTGGGGCTCGCCGATTCCCTGTGACGAACGCCAAGTGGAGCCATTGTGGGTGGGGTCGCGTCGTTAATTACGGCGCGAGGCTTCGCGATTTGACGCGTCCCGTCGCGTCAGGCAGCCCCTCCTTGCAGTGAGATCCCAGCCCGACAACGCTACCCAGACAGACACAGACCACACTTCACATATCGAGGGAAGAACCGCTTATTTTCCCTAATCGGCAACTCTTGCAACACAAGCACACCCTGTGACGTTGAGTGGGCAACCTTTCCGACAGCCACCGCATCAGACTCGCGATGGACCAAGACGAAAGGGAAAGCTACGAACTGCAGTCGCAGCATCTCCGAGCCGAGCTCAAGATATGGGAGAATAAATTCGCCCAAACGAGCAACGGCAAGAAGCCGTCACGGGATGACATCAAGCAGAACCCAGATATCGGTAAGCGACAGATACGCCGCTGTCCCCTCTCTCTTCGACTTCAAAGGCTTACGCGCTTCCGCCCTTTGGCAGCCCAGAAGTACAAGGACTACCATAAGATACGCGACATACTCTCGGGCAAAGTCGCCGCCCCGCGGTCGCAAGCTGCCAAGAAGAGCCAGCAACCAACACCTCGAAAACGCAAGTCGCCCCTCGACCGTCACGATGACTACCCGGCTTCGACCACGCCGTCCAAGCGCTCTAGGGCCGAGGCAACGCCGTCTAAAGGACTCCGCGCGACTGGAGCAGCGCCCTCCTTCATTACGCCGTCACATCCTCGCTTTTCCTCTGGTCCGATGAGCGCCACCCCGTCCACGGCCAGGAAACTATTCGGCACGCCCGCCGTCCCCACATCCATCGGCCCCACGCCGCAGCGCGACGGCCGCGTCCTCGGCTTATTCGATCTCATGGCTCCGTCCCCTGAGGCCTGCCGTGTTGTAACGCCATCCAAAAGCACCGGCAACCGTGGCATCGTGGGCCGTGGCAGCGCCACTACGACGCCAAAACGGCGCACGAATACGGCTTTGATAGCCGCGAATGATGATGGAGATGATGACGACGGCCGCGCCGGCAACAAGCTAGGCCGCACACCAGTGTCGTCCGCCAAGCGTCACATGCTTGACAGCTTCATGACCACCCCGTTGGGCAACAGGCGCGACGCTAACGCCGCGCCTCGTGGCGACGTCAACAAGACGCCCAAGGCGTCGGCCTCGCAGGATAATCTTGAGTTTGCAACACCACAGTTTCTCCGCCGATTGCCTCCCAAGTCCGCAACAACCAGATCGCCCACACGTATGGATGAGAACGGGGTCCCTGTAACCGACGACGGCGCCGCCGCCGACGACCTCCTGACCATGTCCAGCAGCCGCTCGTTCGCCAGCCGCCTGCCGCGCAAGCCCATGATTCGCGGGCTCAGCAGCGTCGTGGCTAGCCTGCGAAAAATGGAGGAGGAGCAGCTCGACGACGACCTCGAGGCGCTGCGCGAGATGGAGGCCGACATGATGGGTGGTGGGCCGCCGCCGCCACCTAAGCCGTTGGTGGCGCAGCAGCCGCCGCTCGACAGCGCGGCTGCCGCAAACCCCGCCCCACAGGAGCCGCAGGAGGTGGTCGAGGACAGCCAGCTCGGCGGCGGCGGCAGCAGCGGCAAAGAAGGCCCGCCTCCCACGGGCCTCCTCGGCGGGTTTGACGATGAGGGCCTGTACGACAGCCCAGACGAAGACAAGGGCGCGGGCCTCGACCGCAACGGGAACCCGCTGCGCGTCTTCAAGAAAAAGGGTCAGAAGCGCACGACGCGCCGCGTCAACATGCGGCCCGTCTTCACCAGGAGGCCCGCGGCCGCTCCGGCGGAGGCGGCAGGCGACGAGGAGGACAGCGGCGACGACGTCGTCCCGGAGACGCAGCTCGCCGCCTCGGCACCCGGCGACGTTCCTCCCGACGACGACAACGACGACGGCCTGTCCGGGGGGTCCGATTTCGAATTCGACGGAGAGGACGAGGACTTTGAGGACGCCGACGGTCGCGGCAAGAGCAAGAGCAAGGCCCGGACGGCCAAGAAGGCCAAGGCGGCCGCTGCGTCCAAGACGAAGAAGGGCAGGAAGGACGAGGCGGATAAGGAGGCCAAGAAGGAGGCAAAGGCCCCCAGAAAGGTCAGCGCGACGGCGCACCAGAACTTCAAGAGGCTGAAGCTGCGCAACAACGGCTCAAAGGGCGGGCCGGGCTTCAACAGCAAGTTCAGGCGGCGGCGCTGAAAGGGGGGCAGCAGAGCTTCCTTTCTCGGGCTATAATAGATACATATTTATATACAATCACGGGGCCAACGACGATAACGAATCGAATCCGCATCTTGCTTACTACTTAACGTTTACTGTGACTTACACCTGTCCATGATTTTCCAGTCGATCAAGGGTTCCACAGCAACATGCACAGCACCCTGGATAATCACAGACATGCAGGTATGGCGCTCGAGCATCGACGCTGTTTTTGGCGCTAGAAACACACGGCGTGATGGCATCCCAAAGGAGAAGCGGTGCCAAGGAGCGAGAATGATATTGTACAAACTCTCATTAAAAGTTGACCCCCGCGCCCGAACCCAAATCCGGCGAGAGACGCGGCCCGCCCACGCGAGCGTATGCCAAAGCCTGAGACGCCCCAAACGGAAACAAAAACCCATCTAGCAAAAATATGGCCTTGTTTCTCTAATCGGTACCTGAGCAAACTCGTAATTGCTGCTTTTAACGTGCACTGTTTGGCGGCACCTCCAGAACGAGAGCTGACACAGCAGGAGCGCCAACCAGAAAACACGGCCGACCAGCTTATTTGTAAAAGTCAAACTTGTTCTCGTCGCCCGTCGACTTGACCTGGCTCGAGTAGGCGTCTTCCAGGTCGCTCTGGATGATGTTGTACCTGTTCTTGCGGACGGCGCGGAGGCCGGCCTCCTGCATGATGGCGGCAATAACAGCGCCCGAGAGCGGGTCGTTGCGGACGATGAGGCTGTCCAGGTCGACCTCGGGAGCGAGGCTCATCTTGCTAGCGATAGTGGAGAAGATGAGACGGCGCTCACGGCGATCGCGCAGGCTGGGGAACTCGATCTTTCGGTCCAGACGGCCGGGACGAAGCAGAGCCGGGTCCAGCGTGTCGGCGCGGTTGGTCGCCATGATCACCTTGACGTTGGCAGTCTGGTCGAAGCCGTCCATCTGGTTGAGCAGCTCGAGCAAGATACGCTGCACCTCACGGTCTGCGCCGGTTTGGGCGTCGAAGCGCTTCGTCGCGATGGCGTCGATCTCGTCGATGAAGATAATGGCCGGCGCGTTTTCGCGAGCCATACGGAACACGTCGCGCACCATGCGAGGACCCTCTCCCAGATACTTTTGCACAAACTCAGACCCGACCACACGGATAAAGTTTGCTGTGGTGCTGTTGGCCACAGCCTTGACCAGCATGGTCTTGCCGGTACCGGGAGGGCCATACAACAGCACACCACGGGGGGGGTCGATACCGATGTGCTTGTATAGGTCGAAGTGGGTGAGAGGAAGCTCGACGGCCTCGCGGATCTCCTGCTTCTGCATGTCCAACCCACCTACGTCGGCGTAGGTCACGTCGGGCTTCTCATCGGCGCCCAGCATGGCAATAGACGAGTCCGCCTCCGGAGGAAGGATATCAACCAGAGCGTTGGAGTGGCGGTGGAGCGCAACCGACGACGAGGGCTTGAGGAGCTCGCGGTCGAGTGTCGAAAGGATCCTGACAACGTAGTTGGACCCTGTGCTCGACTGGACGATACCGGTACTGAGGCGTGGCAAAAGCCTGGTTAGTTGACGACCAAGTAGCACTCTTCTTCGAACTCCGTTACCCACTTTTGATCAATGGCCTCCATGAACTGGCCGATGACCAGAGGCACGCTCTGGATTCGCTTGATCTCCTCCTGGGCCCGGACCAACTCTCGCTTCAGACTCCTATTTGTCTTTGTCAGTATCCGGTGCCGCAGAGAACCTATCGCGTCGCGCAATGGGATAAGCCATACCTCTGCTCATCCTTGATATACTCCTCCTGCAGCTGGATGTACTCCAGCTGCCTCTGGAGCTTCTTCAAGGTCGCGTAATCATCGCCGCTGTCGGTTGGGAGGCCTTCAAAGTTCTCGATACTAGGGATCGTCGATGGCGCAGGTCTCCTGTGTGGAGGAACACTGTTGAGGGGGTTTTCTACCAGAACGTCACCCATCTTGATCAAGGTTTGATGGTTGGCGAGGAGGCAGACGAGAACGTCAAGGTTGCGATAGACGGTGGCGGCGGGCGAGGGCGGGCGGGTTAATAATGCGACGTGGCGGCGCTAGGTTGCGGGCTTGGGCTGCAGAGCGGGCCGCGCAAGAATTATCTCGATCGAAGTCGGCCTGCAGAGGTTGAATGAGATGCGGATGGTCGCGAGCGGGTGGTAGGATTGTTGTTGCAGCTTGGCCTCGTCTTAGTCCAGCTTGCCTGGCGGTTCTTGCAGGCACGCAGGCTGGACCAGAGCTCGTCAGCCTGTGACGCCTGAAAGGGACCCACACTATGGTTGCAGGCAGGATCACGTGACCCTTCTGAGAGATGAAGCCTGAGACCTAATGCAACCAGATGACGGGTTATGACGGCGAATGAAACTCGGATCAGAACCCTGAAAACGAGGAAGAGAAGCAAGAACATATGGAGCACAGAGTAGTCTAGAGTTTCCAAAAACTTTTGCCTGGCGAAGTATCACGATCAGGTTAATCCAAAGCTCGAGGCTCAATGCTCCCACCACCTGCAATTCCATTGTCAGGAACAGCCTCGGAAACGGGGCGAGCGACAGGCGATATTGATTTGGGACTCGGCGCTGTTGGTTCAGGCGGCGCTCTCTTGTGCATGGCAGCCCCACCCACAACGGCCTGGCCGCCCCATCCAAGTGCCATCTCTCCCACGGCACAGTGTTTTGGATGGGTCACAGGCCGGCCCCGGCTTTGGGCGTGGCCCGCCGACGTAGCCCCTCGCACTCCCCAAAGTTGGGACTTGCAGGCGAAGGACCCCAGCAAGCGCCACGGTGGGGACCGCTCCCAACGGCACTGTGTGCCAACTCCGCTCGCCGGCCGTGTGATTCACCTGCTATCTCCTCATGCAACCAACCCATTCGCTGGCGAGCAAACGGCCCAGGTTAGGCAGCGCTACAACAAAACCTCCACGCCGCCGTCCCGCCACCATCCCGCCAGCGCCCGACCCCTCTAATAACCACATCGCAACTCCCACGCCAGCGAGGCCCCCGTTCCTCGTCCTTGTGTCGTACGTCGGGCCCGGTTTGTCCACGCCACCAACCTCACCGGCCGGCGGAGCCCATCCATCGTTCCACCTGCATTCCCGCTGCTGTCAGAGTTCCTCTTCCTTTCTCCCACCACAACCCTCTCTTTGTTCGGGCTCGCCCTCGTCCTTCCGTCGCAGCCTCGTCCGCATTCCCCGGCTTCGAAAGCCCACCACACTCTGGCGTCTTCATTTCCGTGGATCCGTGACTCTAGCAAAACGTCACCATGTCGGCCACCGCGACTCAATCCATCACCATCCCGGCCGGGCCCGCTGACCGCCGAGACAACCGCTCCAAGTCGGCGGCCACGGCCTCGTCGTCTTCGTCTTCGTCATCTTACTCCAGCTCGCCCATGACCCCGCAATCGACACAGTCGTCGCCGGCCTCTTCGGCACAGAAGCAGAAGCTATTCCATACAAGGAGGCCCAGCCTTCTCAGTGAGTGCCCAACCCTCTTCGTTCCAGCCCTGTCCGTTGCCACTGGACCGGATCACCTTTCCAGGATGTGACTAACCAGGGCCTGGCACTAGGCTCCGCTATTCTCAAGGAGGAATGCACCGTGATCAACATCGGCGAGCCTGAGGGCCCTCCAAGGCTGGTAAGCACCTCCCCTCCCGAAACCGCCCTTGCTGCCCCTCTCGAGGACCAGTCTGACCCCTAGCCATCGGACTCTGCTCTCTAGATCTCGTATACGGCCTCAAGCCAGGGCTTCACGTGGAATCCTGAGATCTTCCTCCCATCTTACGTCGACTACGACTACATCCCGCTCGACCAGCGACGCGAGCCCGTCCACGAGATCCGACTCAGCGACGAGGAAATCAAGGAGATCTACCCGCAGTGATTGCTGGCTACTAATCGACGACGACAGGGGACGACTTGACGTGAGCACACCGGCGTTTGTGCCTATACCTTGTTACGACTACTAGATCCACCATTCTCGCGCGAGATTTTGGCGACCTCTTTTTCCTTGCTGGGTTTCTTCTGCCTCGACCGGCACGACTGGAGTTTCGGTATACTGGTGTGCTTTTTATTCCATTTTTGTCGTTTTGATTTTCTTTTTTTTTCCTTGGCCCTGGCCGCCGTGGGGTATTGCCGAATGCTCTGAGGATCAAGCAGGATGACGGCAGCAACCATCTAACACACCATCGACGGATGGGGGTTTGTCGGGAACCGTGTGATCCCCAGGCACGCGGCAAGGGAGCCCTCATTCATGGATGAGAGAAAAGAAGGAGCACGGGAGTTCAAAGATGCCCCCTTTTTTGGTTTCTTTTCCTTTTATTCGGGTTTACATTTCAGTCGCGGGGCGTATCGTTGGGGCCGATTTTTACGGCTTGCTGTCCTTGCTGACAGTCTGGTTTCTTGGATCATGGCGTTGACTTTTTTCCACTTGCTTTTTTCTCACAGAGACGGAGAGTTAGCCCCATGTTCTGTTGTTGTCTCTCCCCTCGTGGTGTTTTTCTACTCTTCACTTCAACGCCTATTTAGTTCGTAGCCCTGTACGCAGACTTGGCGCCGCCTGAGACCCTGACGGGGTCTACTATATATGTTACTTTACCGAGGCACGACTTTGGCACCATGCTTATTTGCATGTATCTGCACATATGATTGTAGCCGTCCCTTGTGCACGAGAAGCTTCATCGTGTTGAAGATGCCGCTATGAGTATCGGAAATGGGCGGGCGGGCGGGCGGCCTCTCCCAATAGCGGATGCCCACCATCGTGCAATCTGCATGTTTAGATTACCTGACGAGCGGGCTGACGGCCTAGAGTGGTCCTCGGTATTTGGCTGGCCCGACGTCGGCCTCGCACGCTCTGGCGTATTTTTTGGTGGGCGTCAGCAACACGACATACAGCGGCGGGGGGGGGACGCCAAGCCTGCACTGTGTGCGCGCTGCTCAGACTGTCGCTGCTCACCCGCACCCCACCACTCCCGTCGGCAGACCACGCCCCACTGCCGTCACCTCCCCACAATGAGTGACGGAGGTGGAGTGTTTTATTACGGTTATGTAAGCCGCCCTGGCGGCGGCGGCGTCGCGAGCTCAAGCGCGGCCGCCCTTCCCAAATGGGCGTTGGCTGCGGGCGATGGAGTAAACACCAGAAACAAGAGGTCGAGATCGGAGATGCCAAACCGAGGACGACCGCCACACCGGACCACGACGAGAATACAGCACTTACGTGATTGATTTTTTTCTTTCTGTATATTCTCGTCTCTCATCATGGACGGCGTCCACCGCAAGGTCGAGCTACAGTCGCCCGAGGACTTTGCCTACCTGCTCGGCAACGTGCGGCGCGCCGCCCAGGAGAGCATCGGCGCCGCCTTCCCGCCCGTCGAGGGCGCCGGCGAGGACGAGCTGCGGGTGCGGATCGAGGAGCTGGTGAATGAGGTGCGGCAGGGATTTTTTGTTTGATCTTCTCCCCAACTAGACAGCGAGGAAACTGACACAGAATTAAAAAAAAAAAAAAAAACAGTACATAGCAAAAACATTCACCCTCGCCGCCCCAAACATCTCCATCAACGGCCTCCCCGTCCCGGACTCGCTCCTCCCCAAGCCGCCACCCAAGCCCAACAACGCCAAAAAGAACCGACGCGGCAGGAGCAACAACAACCCCCCTCAAGAAGAGGAGAAGGAGGAGGAGGTCGTGTACGAGCCCTTCGACGCCCGCCTGCGCGACCGCATCCCCGACCTGCTCCGCGAGGAGGAGGACCTGCTGCGCGAGATCGCCGCGCTCAAGCGCCGCGTGCCCGCGGCCGCCGCCTCCCGCCTCGCCGACTCGCTGCGCGCCGGCGTCGTCGCCGACGAGGCGGCGCTCGAGGCGGCGCGGGA